ATGCATATAAATTCTTTGGTTTATTTCTTCCCACCCCCCAAACCCCTTCCCTTTGAGGTTTGTCAGTCTAGCAATGAATTTGTACTTCTTAATCTCTTCACCTTTTTCACCCATTCCCCAATCCCCCTCCCATCTGGCAACCAGCAAAGTGTTCTCTGTATCTATGAGAATGTTTCTGCTCTGCCTGTTCATTTTGTTTGTAGAGTCCATTGTTGATAGATATGTATTCATTGCCATTTTGTTTGTTCATATATTTGATCTTTTTCTTCAAAAACACCCTTCATCATTTCATATAATAACGGTTTGGTGGTGATGAACTCCTTTAACTTTTTCTTGTCTGGGAAAGTCTTTATATGGCCATCAATTCTAAATGACAGCTTTGCAGGATAGAGTAATCTTGGTTGTAGGTTCTTGCTTTTCATCACTCTGAATATTTCTTGCCACTCCCTTCTGGCCTGTAAATTTCTTTTGAGAAATCAGCTGACAGCCTAATGGGAACTCCCTTGTAGGTAACTGTCTTTTTCTTCCTGCTTTTAAGATTCTTTCTTTGTCTTGAACCTTTTGCATTTGATGATAATGTGTATTGGTGTGGGCCTCTTGAGGTTCATTTTGTTTGGGACTCTCTGTGCTTCCTGGACTTGTATGTCTGTTTCCTTCACCAAGTTAGGGAAGTTTTCTGCTATTATTATTTCAAATAGGTTTTCAATTTCTTGTTCTCGCTCTTCTCCTTCTGGCACCCCCAAGATGCGAATGTTGGCACGCTTGAAGTTGTCCCAGAGGCTCCTTACACTATCCTCATTTTTTTGGATTCATTTTTCTTTTTGTTGTTCTTACTGGGTGTTTTTTGCTTCCTGATATTCCAAATCGATTGTTTGCTTCTTGGCTTTACCTACTCTACTACTGAATCTGTGTATTCTTTTATTTTTTATCCTCACCTGAGGATATTTTTCCATTTTTTGTACAGATAGAGTGGGAGGGAGAGAGAGGAAGGGAGAGAAAGAGAGAGAAACATCGACGTGAAGGGACACATCGAGTGGCTGCCACCCGCACGACCAACCAGGGCCGGGGACAAACTGCAACCAAAGTACATGCCCTTAGCGGGAACCGAACCTGGGTCTCTCCGGACCGCAGGCCGATGCTCTAACCGCTGAGCCAAACTGGCCAGGGCAAATTATTCTTTATTTCAGTTAGTGCCTCCTTCATTTCTGACTGTGCATCCATCATTTCTGACTGGTCCTTTTTTATGCTCTTGAGGCCCTCACTAAGTTCATTGAGCATCCTTATAAGCAGTATTTTGAACTCAGTATCTGTTAGGTTGCTTATCTCCATTTCACTTGGTTCTTTTCCTGGGGTTTTGTTATGTTCTTTCATTTGGGACCTGTTTCTTTGTCTCCTCATTTCGGCTGCCTCTCTGTGTTTGTTTCTGTGTATTACTTAACGAGAGGTATGGGGCTAGCTGACACCAGATGCTGCTTATTTGAAAGAATTTAGGAAAACCTGAAGTGGGATCCAAGACAGGCCAATCCTATGGTTAAGCAACTGGCAACAGCTTGAGTTGGCCTGAAGGTTGGGTGGGGCGGGGCCTCAGGGAGTCAGCAGGGTGGGGCTACCAGTGTGAGCCAGGTTGCTGGAGTCCCAGATATGGCGACTGTCTGCCGCCCCAGGGAAGGGCTCACCAAAGGAACAAAGGCCTCTGACAGCACGTTTGTCCCAGAGAAAGCCCCCTCTCCAGCCCTTGCTCCAGTGCCAAACAGCTCAGTTCTTCCCTGAATGTCTCTGGTGCCCCTCGAGCTGCCTCCCCTCCAAGCTCAGAGGGAGAGAGTCCGACAAGTCCGTGTGCGGGCCCTTTAAGAGGAGCTGCCTGGGGCTCCAGCCACTTCAGCCTCCCTGAGCCTCAGTTCCCTCTGGTTATGGGAATTCTCTTCCTGGTACTGGAATCCTGAGCAGGGCGCCTGGTGTGGGATGGGGACCCCTCAGTCCTCAGGGAGGACCTTCCCAGCGAGGTGTCCTCCTGATTTTTATCCGCCACACATGGGACCAGCCTGTCCCCTCCGCCCCTCCTACCAGTCTCAATGTGGCTGCTGCTTTAATTCCGTAGTTGTAGGACTGCCATTCAGCTTGATTTCAGGCGGTTCTGAATGATGGTTGTTCTGTAGTTGAGTTGTGACTTTGATGTGGTCGTGGGAGGACGTGATACCGCGGTTACCTACCCCCCATCCTGAAGTCGTCAGTTCTGTTTCTAAGCAGCCCTCTCTTGGTCTCATCTGCAGCCCAGTGCCTGTGCCCAGGCACCGTGCTCGGCTCCCGGGACAGGGAAGTGAAGCAGCGAAGGGTTCTGCCGGCCAGCGTGGCCCCGCAGGCAGGAAACGCACACCGGGTGTTAGCGTGACTTGCCTGGTGGTGTCGTGGCCAGAAGGACTGTGGAGACCCGAGCTCCTGGGTGGGTCTGGGGGTCTGAAGGCTTTGCACAGCGCAGGGCAGATGAGATGGGAGTGTTGGTGCAGGAGGCCAGGCCCGGGAGGCAGGACGCCTGCGGGGCCAGGTGAGGGCTCTCTTCCTCCCGCATTCACAGGGGCCCCACATACACGAATCCCTCAGGCCCCTAAACACAGGGCTCCCCCGCAGAGGCTGGAGGTACCAGTTTCACGTGGGCAGTGAAATCTCCAAGTTTCCGCTTTGTTGAGTCACCTTGAAATGCTGTTGGTAGAAAAATCTGCACACGGGAGCCCTCACTGTGGTCCTGAGGCTGGAGGTGGTTCATTCACACCCAGGACAGGTCACCACAACCTGCCACCCAATTAAGTGACAATAAACAAAGCAAAAACTAATGGGAAAATCCATCCTGAAAACAAAATTATCTTGTAACAACTCTGTGTCGACTGCAACGGAATGTTCTCTGTTCATTTGACTTTTGACTATAACTCGTTCTAGAACAAATACTGTAAATTAAGTATGTGAATGTTCTTTGTATTCAGATTTGCACAAGAATTAAAACATCTGATCTTTCAATCCAAGGATGAGGCAAGAACTCCACACAAATTGGATGCATAATAATAAGATGTATTCCTTTTTTAAAAAGCATTTGGATGACAAATTATACATACTGATACCAGTTATTTAAAATGTTTGTGTTTGGTTTTCTATTAACTTTTGTGAAAAGAAGTATTCCTGTCAAGTTCGCTGTCTGGGCTTATTACCAGCTCACGGCTTTCTACTTCGGTATTGTCACAGGACGGGACCTTGGAATCCCTGCGGAGTGGAAATACAAACTGATTTCAAGTCTTCTAATCTCCACTCCATGAAAAATGCTAACACTGAAGCTATTTAGCTATTTGGGAGCTTGTCAACGGGAAGACAAATGCCTGGATTCCCTCCACTCCTTCCAAGAATCCACTTTACTCCTTCAGCCGCGAGCCCTCCCTGGCCACTGGGCACCTCCCTGTGGTCTGGGGGAGCCAGGAGAGGGGCTGCAGGCATCCCTGCGGCCCAGGGGGAGGCGGTCGCCATGTTGGCAATGCTGCACTTACCACTGGGCATCAGAAACGTGCCTTCGTTTTCAGAACAGTGGTGTGTGCATTTCTGACTCAAACACGGGGCTGAGGTTCGGCACTTTCAGAGACACTTTCAAAGCGTGGACTTGGGAACCTGGACGCTTTCTGCACCACACACCTTGTTACATTTCTGCAGAAAGCTCTTTGCAGGCTCGGAAGAACCAGGGGCCAAGGGTGGAGATAACAGCTGTTTTCTACATTGTCCATTGTTTAAATGACTGTCGCTGTAACCCTGTGGGCAATAAAGGATATCATGAAAAGTCTGGCATTCGGATGGTGGATCTTGTACTGCCCCAGCAGAGGGGGAGGGAGTGTGAGACCTTCCACAGAAAGCAGACCCTCAGTGGTTCTCCTGGCACAGTGACAACCAAGCCCTGCCGCTGGCCAACGCTGCAGGTGACGTGGTAGCTAGGCAGTGGCTTTCCTAAGGGACTAAGTTAACTGACTGGCCTTGGCAGAATCAAAGGTGACAGAAGGCTTGGTCCTCAGTTGTGCTGGGGAGACGTCTTCACGACCATCACCACTACGTCAGGTATGCCAAATGCTGGCCCCTTTCTCTGTAGAACACAGAACACGTGCGTGAGTGCGCATGCGCGCACACACACACACACACACACACACCGTGTGTACAGGAGAAAGCTGGGAACGGGCCAGTTCTGACCTCTTCTCTCCTTTTGCAAGTGGAACAGAACCACACATCCTGTCTCTTGGCCTCACTTAACGGCCAGGCCCTCACCACCATCCCTGTCCAAGGGCAGTCTACTGACCTTCAAAACAGCCCGACCTATCGAAGCTGGTGAGCCCGGCCAGTGTGGCTCAGTGGCCGAGGGTCAACCCATACACCCAGAGGTCGCCGGCTCAATTCCCGACCAGGGCACATGCCCACCCTGTACTTGTGGGCCTGATCCCCACTGGGGGGCCTGCAGGAGGTGGCCAATGTTCTCTTTCGTCAATGCTTCTTTCTCTCTCTCTCTAAAATCAATAAAGAAAAAGAAAATTGGTGGAAGCGCCCTGCTGCACCTGGCTTCCCTGAACACAAGATATACCCGCCCTGGCTGGTGTTGCTCAGTGGTTAGAACATCAGCCCGCGGACCAAAGAGTCATGCGTTCAATTCTGGTCAAGGGCACGTACCTCAGTTGCAGGTTGGTCCCTGGCCCTGGTTGGGGTGGTGGAGGAGGCAACCGGTCGATGTGTCCCTCTCACATCAATGTTTCTCTCTCTCCCTTTCTCTCCCACTCTATCTGAAGTATCCTCGAGTAAGGGTTAAAAACAAAAACAGGTGCACCCAGGGGGAGTACAGGGTGGGAAGGTCACCAGGGCTGAGCTGGGTTAGTTCTCATGGGACATGGGTCCCAGGTGAGAGGTCAAGCCGCCGCCTGTGCACTGCGTGCACAGCCCTGCACAGACTCCCAACAACACTTAGAAAAAAGCTTCCGGTTTTATTTTGTAACAAACATACATAGGACATAATAAAGGTCACTAACTGAATGAGACCCAGTGGGCAGGTTCTCTGTGGTTCTGAAACAGCCAGCCTCTGAGCAGCCTCCCGCCAGCTGGTTAGGAGCGCACACTGAGTTAGAGCTGATTACGCTGGGCACACAGCAAATGAACATATTCCTTTTTTGAGTACTTTTCATTCAAATTGCTTGAACATGTTGTGTTATTTCAAGGGAAGTTGTGGCTACGGTGCAGAGTGTTATTAATAGTAGCTCCTGAGGTCTGGGCCCCCAAGGCAACTCAGAACTATGATGGAGAGTCCTAAAGACATGTGCCCAGAGGGGAATGTCATATGTGACATTTTGACTCTCTGATGCCTATTTTCCTAACCCAGTCCCTCAGTGCTTAGCTTTCTAGGAATGCCCTGGGTTTCTCCTGTTACGCGGTAAAAGAATAAGCTCCTTTTCGGGGATGGAAAGTAGGTAACCAACCTCTGAAGAACGTCTCCTTACAAACAGGATTTATGTCATCAGCAATGAGAGTGAGCAGAGTCTCGGCCAATACATGGAGCTGCCCAGGATGCTTGGTAACGTCCCGTCCTGAGAGGAACTTGCATCAGACAGAACGGGGTCTATCTCGCTCCATAAAATGTAGTGTTAGGACTACTCTCTCGTCTTTACTTGGGTAACACTCTCACGGGTCCTGAAAACTTCAGGGGTTCTCCTGGGAGGCTTCCCCCAAGTAAGACTCCTTTTGAAGGTTTGTGGGTTTTGTTTTTACATCAACCGTGTGTGTGCTTACGGATGTGTTTCCTTTCATCGGTCTGTGTTTGTGTAGAGTCCTTGGGGAACAGCCTCGGGGAATCCCTTTCCAAGGTGGACAGGGCACAGCGTCGAGCTTTGCTAAAGAAGTACAACAGCTCAGTTCTCCGAAGGAAGCCACCGCTCACATTCCGCTCCTGCCAAGGGTGCGGCTCTCCGGGCGCCACGACCCAGCTGCCGGCCCCTGCCCCTCGGATGGGGCAACACAGGGTTACAGACGGTGCTTTCCTGACACAGAATTGACCTTAACATGGGATCGCAGTGCTGCTTTGTGAACCTGTCCTCGTTGAGTAGAAATATTCCACTAAACAGCTTTCCTTCTCCCAAGTGGGTTCATTCCTTAGCTGGTCAGGGGCTCCGGCTCCTGGAAAACCTTCATCGACGTTTCTGTGATTTGGGGAAACCTGTGAATAATCACATAATTTGGCTTTCGGAGGTCCTTAAAACTGCATGGACACGGGACAGGTCCTCAGGGACCTGCACCCACGGAACTCGGCTGTTCTTGCCGGGATCCTTCCAGCACCGGCCTGCTCCTGGGCACGCGTCAGGACGGTGCGAGGTCAGACCCACAGCTCTGGCGCCGGCCTGGGACGAGGCCTTTCTGAGAATTTTGGCATTAAAACCCTGCTCAACTCCAGACTTCACGTCTGTGTGAGCTGGGAGTGGCGTCCACCTCGTTCCCAGGCAGGTCCTGACAGCTGCGGTGCGGTCAGAGCTTTGCTCGTGTTACCTGTGACCAGCAGCGAGGACAGCAGTTCTGCCCACGCCCACAGCAGACGGGACGAAACCCCGGGGCGCCGCAGCACACGGACGCTGGAGGGACTCGGGAGGGCGGCAGTGCCCCCGGCAGCTTGGCACATTCGGACTTGGGAGTCTGAAGCGGACAAGGAATGCTTCTACACTGAGATGGGTGGGTGAGCCCCAGTCCCAGCCTAGAGAGAGGCCACACCAGGCAGGCTGTAGGCAAAATAGATCTCCTGAGTCCCTGCTCTGGCAAAGCCCTGCTGGGCCCCGCGACAGATAAGCACATGCCGCCGGGGCCGCCGCTCCTGCTGCGGACACGACGCAGCCCGAGGCCACGCCCTCACTTGCACAGGCTCCCGTTCTGCAGGGTTCTGTTTCTGTCACTCAAGCAAGGCGAGGTGACCGTTTGGGGGGTGTCCTCCTTGCTCTTCGGGGAGGGGCTGCTGTTGTTGCTGCCGCTGGATTTGCTTTTGCTCGGATCGAGAGTGAGCTGGACCGGCAAGGAGCGGGCACCCTGGGCCCGGACCAGGCAGTTGCAGACCAGCCGGAAGAAGGCGCGCCGCATCTCCTTGCTGGCCAGCGTGTAGATGATGGGGTTCATGGCGGAGTTGAGCACCGCCAGCACGATGAACCACTTGTCCTTGAACAGGACGGCACACTCCTTCACTTTGCAGGCCACGTCGATGAGGAAGAGGATGAAGAGCGGGGACCAGCAGGCGATGAACACGCTCACCACGATGACCACGGTGCGCAGCAGGGCCATGGAGCGCTCGGGGTTGCTGGGGCTGGCCACCCTGCGGCTGCTGGACTGCACCAGGCAGTAGATGCGAGCGTACAGGATCACGATGGTCACCAGGATGGCGGTGAAGATGCTGACGCAGAACACGATGTACTTCTTGGAGTAGAGGGGCAGGATGGTGGAGCAGTCGGGGAGGTTCTGCAAGCAGTTCCAGCCCAGGATGGGCAAGGTGCCCAGCGACACAGCGATGAGCCAGCACATCCCGATCAGAACGAAGACTCGGTGCTTCTTGTTGGCGTCGTAGGGCCTCATCTTGATCATGGTCAAGTGCCGCTCAATGGCGATGGCCAGCAAGCTGCAGGTGGAGGCCCCGAGGGCCACGAACATGCTGCCTTCCCGCAGGAACCAGACCGTCAGAGACAGGCTCAGCGTCTTCTTGCCTGACATCAGAATGTTGACGGTGTAGGTGATGCCAGCCAGCAGGTCGCACAGGGCCAGGTTGCCGATGAAAAAGTACATGCGGTTGTGAAATTTGTTGTTTTTCCAGATGGCGATCAGAACCATCAGGTTCTCCAGGACGATGAAGCTGCAGATGACCAAGAACAGCACCGTGGTGACAGTGTTGCCCTCGGGGGCGTCCTTCAGCCGGCCGGCCAGCTTGCCCACGTAGCTGTAATGTTCGTACAGAGTCCTGTTCCCAGGGAAGGGTCTGGGGCGCGAGACAGGGACCCTGGACATCACTTGGAATTCACGGGCGGTCAGCTCCGAATCCACCAGAGGGCGCCTTGGGAACGTCCATGTCTAGCAAAGAGGCTCAGGCTGCAGTGAGGGTCCTGGCCAGACCCCCGCTGGGGCGAGGAGAATGGGCTCCTGCAAGAAAGAAAGAGAGGGGATCCCAGTGATAAGACACACCACCTAAGAGCAGGGTAGCAGCAAAACGGGGAGAAGGCACCCAAAACGCTGAAGCACAGGGCCAGCTGGTCCTCGGCGGCTCAGACAGGGCCTCTTAGCAAGGCCAGGTTCCTAAGTGGCTGCGGAGGACCTGGAAGCGCTGGGGTCTGCGGCTGCCAGGAGGGAGGCTCAGCGCCAGAGTCGGCCACTCACTCCGGCCCCCGCGCACAGACCCGAAGAATGCCTCCCTCTGGAAGTGCTGTCTGTTAGCCCTCACCTACCACACGGGAGCTGGAGAACCATTCTTCTCGGCTACCGAGAGGAACTGAGGATTATCTCAGGCCGAAAAACTAGGCTGGACTCCAGAGGTGCTCTGGGGAGTCTTAGTGACATCGCAGGACACGCCCCCACTTCCCAGGTTGCCTGTCCTGCAACCAACCAGGGCCAAGGACAGAAATCAGATCCTGATGGCCCACAGGCCTGCAGGCTGGGAGCCCCGGCACGGACCTCGGACCACGGACCACGCTGCCACCTGAGGAAGGGCAGCTGAGGACACAGAGCCGCTTGGCGGGTGCGCGCAGAGCTGGGAGGAGGAGCGCACACCTGGGAAGGCAGAACCCGCTTCCGTGAGGCTGGAGGAAGGCGGAGAACGCGAGGGCAAGCACGTGGACTTTGAGTCGGCTTAGCACCCGAAGGCCTGAGCGTCAGCTGTAACTGTCTAAACCCCACAACCAAATCCGCACACGTGGGCCGAGAGCAGCCACCACCCTGGAGCACTAGTGAGACAGTGAAGGTAGCGAGCCCTGGACGGCCCTGAATTTTAACCCTCCCCTAGCCGATCCTGGACACTCCCCACCCTGCTGTCAGCCTCCAGGGCGAAGTAGACCCAACCACCAAGGTGCAAGGTTGGTCAGTGGACGTACCAACTCTACATTTAAATTATTTGAATATATAAATGTCTAACTCACATCCAATGAGGTTAATTTAAAACAGTCCACTGTGTGTATCCAGTGAAGTTTCTTTTTGTACTTTTTAACATTTATTTTTATTTTTTTAAAAAATTTTTTTCTTCTTTATTAATTTGAGAGAGAGAGGAAGTAAGAGGGAAAGAGAGATAGAAACATGGATGAGAGAGAACATCGATTGGCCGCCTCCTGCACACCCCCCCACTGGGGATCGGGCCCACAACCTGGGTATGTGCCCTGACCGGGACTCGAACCAGCGACCTCCTGGTGCAGGGTCAACGCTCAACCACTGAGCCACACCAGTCATATCGTACTTTTTAACATTTAACTCACAACCCAGATTAGGGGCAAATGGACCCTCTGCCATGATTTGGGGCTCTGTACTTCGGGGTGTGATGGGATCTGAAGGCCTCATCTACTCACTGAGCCCAGACAGCTCTCAGTGTCTGGAAGGACCTCGGGTCCCTGCCCACGGGACCCTCCAGGTGACTGCTCCCTGCCCCTCAGATGCTGGTGCAGGCCTGAGGATGCAGTCAAGGCCTCCCCTCCCTTCATGCGTCTGGAGGACCTGGTCCTGAGATTGGGCAGAGGTGGCCCCCCGCTTCTTCAGGGGGGTTTCATCCAGCCTCCAGGGGCTTCGACCCGCACTGGTTCTGGGAGCCCGGGGGGCCTGGCACCCGAGCTGACGCCTGCGTTCTGCCCTGACCTTCCCTGGCCCCTCCATGACAGCTAAGGCCCTGGAGGACGTGGAGGTCAGCTTGAACGCCAAGTGTGTCAGAAAACTCTTCGAACTTCCAAAAGGAACAGCAGGCGGGTTTGAGGTTGGAACAGCCCTGGCGGCTGGAGGAGGCACCTGTTGTCTCCCTGGCTGCCTCCCCGGCTGTGGCCCACTCAGGCCGGGGCACCTTGTTGCCTTGGGCAGAAGGCAGCTGCCCCAGCCCTGGAACCCCACCCCCAACCTGGACTGAGGCTCATCCAGGACAGCAGACCTCTATGGGTTCTTCCGAGGCCGCAGGGAGAGGTCACCGTGGTGGCAGCTTTCCCACCAGCCCCCTTGTCTGTGTCCCTCCCCCACTTTGACTGGAACCTTCAGTCCTTCAAGCCACGTCAAATGCTACACGCTCTGCGACATTTTCTAGGATCAGCCCAGCGCCTGGTGACTGTCTCTGAGACCACACCGCTGACCCACACGCTGACGCTGTGGCACTCACAGCGTCCCGGGCACCTGGCACTGGGCACTCGGGTGCCAGTGAGCGTGGGAGCCTTGGCTAGGGCTGCTCCGCAGTGCTCATCTGTGAGCAGGGGTGAGGACCCACAGCCTCCTGGCCGGCACCACGCCCAGGAGAACTTGCCCCAAGGGCACGCCCACGGAGAGGGCGCTCAGCATGGCCCACGCGGAAAGCGCCCATGACACCACTGTCCTTGTTCGTGGGAAAGGCCCAGCACAAGGGCAGGGAAGAGAAACACGGGGGGCTCCAGGCCATAAACAAGCAGCGTCCTGAGCACGTCCTTCCCCCAGCGCTGGCCGAGGGCCCTCCGAGCACACCCCCCACCAGGCCACCTGCTGCCACGTCCAGGTGGCCACCCACTGTCCACTACTCCACCTCCTCCAGTGTGCCTCAAACTGTCTCTTGAACATCCGCTCCCTGCTCCCCGCCAGGGGTTTCTGTGATAACGGCAGGTGCGCCCTGATAACAGACTTGGCCCCAGGGCATCTGAATGACAGGGTGAGCCCTGAGGATTGTCCGTGAATTCACACCTGTGCGGGAGAAGGGACCTCGGACGTCGGGCATCAGAGAGGTTTCCGAGACCACGGTACATTGGAGGCTTGGCCTCTTGCCTCAGTTTCCCCATAATAATTCCATGTACCTCGTGGCTTCCCGACACCCGAGACCCTTTGCTGTGCCATGAAGTGGACAGAAGGGAAGTGAGTCCCTTAAACCTGCTGGACCTGGACTTCTCCAGGAGCAGCGAGCAGAGGGTGAAGAGACCACGGCTCTGCAGGCTGACATCTTTTTCTTCCTCCCCCTGCATACGTGGAGTTTTGATAAAATTGAGCAAAGCAGAAAAAAACAAGCAAACCATAAAACTAAGGACAAGCAATAAAACAACCACAATAAAAACAGTGTAAGATGTGCCAGAGACCCAGAATTCAAAGTCATGAATTCTGAGGGTGAACATATCTTCCCATTGTTTGATTGATCATTTTCCTTAAGTAAATATTCATAGCTCAAGGAGCATTTAAAAAAAATAGTTTATTGATTATTTGGGAGAGAGAGAGAGGAACCTCGATCGGCTGCCTCCTGCATGCCCCCCACTGGGGATTAAGCCCACAACCCAGGCATGTGCCCTGACCAGGAATCGAACCAGCGACCTTGGGTGTACAGGATGACACCCAACCAACTGAGCCACACTGGCTGGGGCGAGGAGCATATTTTTTCCAGAATATTTTTATGCTAAATGTGTCTCCACATTTTGTGTAATTGGAAGTTACCCAGTTGTCTTTGGAATTTAAAAGCATATTTTTTTTTTGGATTCTCAACAGTAGAAAGTAGACCCATCCTGAGAATCAAGTGCTGGCTGAAAGCCAGACTAATTTTATATGCGTCTGAACACTGCTGTGCCTGATCAAAGCATCTTGCAGGGGCCAGTTGTCCCACCCAACCTAACACCCGAGGCTGGCTCTCAGGTGCCCCCGAGCCCCTGCCAGTCACTGCCCACTCCCAAACGGGACCGCTGTCTGGGCTTCACTCCCTAGTGGGCCTGCTGCTGCCTTTCACAGGAAGGAGCCGGCAGGACACAGCTGTGCCTGGGTCTCCCTCCGGAGGGGAGCTCCTGCCAGTCATGTGTATGGACACTGATCGGACAGAGGCACTGTCTCTTGTTTGTGGACACGCGTGGCTTTTCCGTGTCTGAATGCCCACGTCCTGTGAGAGGACGTGTCTGTAAGTCCACAGTGCAACTGATTTCGAGCATGTTGTTGTGGGTACCGTGTGTGGGCTCTGATGCCGAGGCCCCCAAGGCTCACCAGGCTTGCTGGCGTCCCGCCACTGTTTGCGTGGAGCGGGAGTGCCCCAGAGGGCGAGCTTTACACACCACAAATGGCCACACTGTGTTTTATTTTAATAGATTGGTGTCTGGGGCTGGCAGGAACACTGTACAAGTCTGATCGCTGCTTAAATGTCACCTGGACACTTCAAGCCCGACGCTGGGACATGAGGGCGGGCTGGTCTCGGACATCCGCAGAAAGCTGGGCATGCTGTAACAGATACGCGGGCTCGTTGGCCGTGTCTCCAACAAATCCAGGTTCCGACAGTGCTGCGGCCTCCCGCTGGCCTGGCATGTCCATCTGTCCAGCCTGGAGCCCCTCGCCCCCCCTCCCCGCATCTCACCTGGAGGAGGCTCCCTTATCCACTCCAGAGACGGTTCCTGCGGGGCTCACTTTGCCCTCATCAGCTGCGGTTCCAGTCTACCTCCAGGCGCTTCAACACCAACCAGCCCTTTTCTTTTTACAAAGGAGGAATAAAATTCCTTCTGGAGGGTGGTTCTGAGGTATGTCACCCCAGTGGGAGTTTGTCAAGCTGGGGTGCTCCTCTTCCCTCCATTCCAAGAAAGTACATCCTGGGGGTGGGGAGCCCGGGGCAGCCGATGGGTTCCAGATGTGCTTTCCACACTAATTCACTTTCTCTATGTCAATTTGAAAAATAAACAAACTATAAAAAGAAGCAAAAGCAAAGGAAACGATTTCCACAAAGTCTGGGATCTCTCTCTCTCTCTCATGCAAAAAAGAAAAGCAAACGAAGATGGTGAGAAATTTCTCCGGTCACACGTAAGATGCAGTATTTTTAAAAGGCACCGTCTTCCAGGAAAATCAATTAGTTGCTGCTCCAAACCGAATGAACACACCAAGCATTTGCCGGCAGCAAAAGTTCTTGGAAAGCGAGATTTTTTTTCTCTCAAAAGGAAATAATGAGCTGGCCATTTCACGGCCGCAGCAAAAGTCCTGTGGTTGTGAGTATCTTCCCTGGCTCTGCATTTCCCAGGTGACGCTCTGCTTCCAGGGGCAGTTCACACAAGAGGCTTCACACACTCTGCCTCACGCGCGTGCACACTGCTCGAGGCCAGCGGAGGGGCTTCCAGGGAGGAAAACGCTGCGGAGCATGACCCAGGCGAGGGTTTCACGTCCCAAGCTCACTCCCCTGGGCATCCAGGCTCGTCCATAGGAAGATAATTGCTTTTAATACAAGAGGTCTCACTGTCTTTGCTTCTCAACTAGGCTTGTCACACGTTCTCTTCCTTGCTTGCTCTAAGTAAAGGCACGGGGTTGACTTTCTACCGAGACTGCCACAGGACCACTGGGGGTGTGTGGAACTGAAGGCAAGTGCAAATCAGAGGTATTCTGCCGCCCAGCCGGTGTGGCTCCGTGGCTGAGCGTTGAGCCACGGATCGAGAGGTCGCCGTTCGATTCCTGGTCAGGGCACCTGCCTGGGGGGCATGTGGGAGGCATGCAGTAAGCATGCAAGAGACAGCCAGTTGATGTGTCTCTCTCATCAGTATTTCTATCACTCTCTCCCTCTCCCTTCCTCTCTCTAAAAAAAAAAAAATCAATAAAACATATTTTTTAAAAAAAATAGGCGTGCTGCCCAGGAAGCCCCGAGAGCTGGGTCCCTCGCATCTTCCCCAAGGCAGAGCCAGTGTGGCTGGTGCGCTGGGCGCTGTCCTTGCCCTGCTGGGGCCACCTCTGGTCTCCCAGCTGCCGTCTGAAAGCAACCGGAGGGAGCTGAGGCTGTGGCGGTGGCTGTCCTCGGCGGCACAGCTCGGAAGAGGCCTGTGCCCCATCCACCACATCAACCATAAGCTTTTCTGGAGGTGACCACCCTTCCACATGTCCTTCGCCTCAGTGGGGACAGAAGCATCCCCAGTAGCTTCTAGCTACTATGCTGGCGAAGTCCTGGAATATACGGAAAACTCTGCCCCCGGGGAATGGAGTAGCGCCGGCAAGGCCAAAGCGCCTCATCAGCGCGCAGGACGCCCGCCCCAGCTCTCTGCGCCGCTGGGATGGGGACCCACCCACGGGGCGCCACACTGTCCCCCAAGCATCTTGTAGCTGATTTGACCTAACTGACCTGTTGCCTGGGCTCTGACAGACAGAGCTTCAATTCCTCAAAAATAGGATAGTACCAAAACAAAGCAGAATTGGCGACTTTGTGTCCAGTAGCCGTAACAATAACAACTGAAACGTACTATTAATGGACACTAGATAGGATCCCACCCAGTGTATCATCGTATCATCTCCAAAAGCTACGGAAACTCTCTTAAGGCAACTGATTACTCCAACAGAAAATACATGGCACAGGAATCCCACGACAACTCCCTAAATGACAAAAGAATCATGAAGCCAAGGCTGGGAATGGGCTTCTGGGGGCCGCAGCACTACGCGTAGGTCCTGGCTCACGTCTCCAGCCGGCCTGGGGGGCCTCGGCTGGGTCAGCACGCAGTCACGATCCCAAGTCCTGGCAAAGTGGGGTTCTACAAGATGGCAACCCCAGATTTTTCACGATTATGACATGCTCAAATTCTCTCTTTTTTTGGTACTAAAAAGATATGCACCCACTGCAGAGACTGAATCATCCTGAGGAGGTGGAAGAGATGCCTTGGAATCAAGTGTGTCACGATTCCAGAGACAGGACAGTCAGTCCCGTCTTTTGATAAACCAAGTTTAATCAGTATGTCAGTCTCCTGCTACAGGAAAACGGGAGTTTCTACTATACGTGTGATATAAAACTAGGAGCCATGCGCTTAAGGAAATTCACAAACATAAAGAGGAAGCGGCATTTCAAAGATGATAACTGGGTGAGAAATCATTGGGTCTGTATCTCGAGAGGTGCAGAAGGGCTGACTTCGGATTTTAGATCTCCTGTGTCGGGCTACAAGAGCGGCTGGACTAGCAGCAAGCCCAGGGGAATATTTGCTGACCGAGAAAACCCAATGTGTGGCCCTCTGTGACAACAAAATTATTCATACTGGCATCGAGCTCCGCATCAAGTAAGGGAGAAACTGTCCAGATCCAGGCCCTTCTACATGCACCACCAGCACCAGCACCACCAGCCACGGCATGGCGTCCTGGTTAGTCCCAGATCCGCAGGACCCAACCCTGCCCTTGCACTTTCTAGGAATCACCTTTTCCTTAGTCATGCCTGCAAGATTTCATCAGTGAAGAAAAGATTGCTGAGAAGATAAAGTACGAACATGTGATTCCGTACAATGTCTGCGGCCTCTGTGTCCAGAAATTCCTAACTCTGGACGTACCCGGAGCTCCAGCTGGGGGAAGGGACTCTGTGCAGGATGGACCTGCTATTGTCTGAAATAACCTTCCCAAAGAGCTTCTGTTCATGCTGTTTTGTCCTCAAAACAAACCGTGTTCTGAAAAATTCTAACAAGAAGTTCCTCTTTTACATCTAAATATAAAAACACCACAAAGAAAGATGTCATTGGAAGTGCCCAGTGCCAGGGAGAGAGAGAGAGAGGGAGAAACACACCCAGAGGGAGAGCGCGCGACCATTTGGAGACCTGGTTAAACATGGCAAAGCTAGCCAGGTCCCTGCACCATGGAGAAGGCTTCATCGCACGTCTGAACACAGCGCACTTACTTTCCGCGGGCGCCTCCTGACTGCACCGGGACTTGACCTTCCAGCCCTGATTCTGACAGCCCTGACTGCTTTGTTTGGGAAATAAAAGAAAAATGGAATTTTGTGGCGTGTATGATTTTTACCAGAAGAATGACCACAACCACACATTTCCAGAATCCCCAGGTCCTCATTCTGGGAAGGCGCCTAACTTTTTTATCCTCACCGGAGGACATTTTTCCATTTTTTTGTTCAGATAGAGTGGGAGGGAGAGAGAGAGAAACATCGACGTGAAAGGGACACATCGAGTGCCTGCCACCCCCACGACCAACCAGGGCCAGGGACAAACTGCAACCGAGGTATGCGCCCTTAGCGGAACCGAACCTGGGTCTCTCTGGACCGCAGGCCGATGCTCTAACCTCTGAGCCAAACTGGCCAGGGCGCGCCTAACTTTTTAATTGTCCAAGTTAAACGACAGATGGAACTTCTCTAAGAAAAGCCACTTCTTCATTCAGGTTATTGAGAGGCAGCTGAGTTTAAAGACTCCAATGGTAGTTTAAAGAAAAGCAGCCCCCCACCCCCACCCCCACCCCCACCCCACACACACCTCCCACCCCCTGCCGTGGCTTGGTCACGGGAATGGACGGTTTGAATGAGGGGGTGATGCTGCTGCGGTGTGCTCGTCCTCCAAGGCCACTGTCGCTCCCGAAACAGGCTGAGATTTCGTGAGAAAAGTGGGCCCAGCTGCCCCTGCCCACCCCAGAGTCCGCGACCCCGGCCCTGCCGGCTCACCTCCGTCTGGGAAGGGTACCAGGGCGGCGGGCATCCTGGAGCCGTTCCTCCGCTCAGGTGCGAGCTGGGTTGAGACACCTGGATAGTCTTTGGGCTCAGAGGTTCGTACCCCGGCTTGGAGGTCTCGCTCGGGCTCGACCTGCTACCACATTCAGCTCCGGGGCTCCGTCGCGTGTTCCCAGGACCGGCTCCTTCAGCCTCTGCCGGCGCCAGCCAGCGCGCAAACTTTTCCAGTGTCCCCGGGGGCGGGCCGCTGTCCGAGTCCCCGCCTCCCCGCCTCCCCGCCTCCCCGCCCCACCTCCACCTCCACCTCCCGGCGCCGCAGACCCAACTTCCCCGTTCCCTCTCTCCACGTCCCCACCTCCACCCCCGACCTCCACCTCCCGGCGCCGCTCGCCAACTTCCCCGCTCCTTCTCAACCCTGTCCCCACCTCCCCGCCCCCGCCTCCCGCGCCGGGTCTCCATCGCCCGACCCTCCCCCTCCCCCGCCGTCCCCACATTCCTTCGCCAGGCTCCCCGCCTTCAGCCTCCCGCGGCCGTCCGGGCCGCTTGCCCCCGCCCCTCTTCTCCACGGCCCCCAGCCCCCGCGCTCCCCGCAGTGCTTTGGGGGCCGGCTCACCTTCTGCCTCTGCCCCAAGTCGACCTCCAGACCTTGCGCCGGTCCGGCTAGCTCCGAGCGCCGAACCCAGGACCCTAGGACCCAGCAGGGACAGGTCCGAACTGGACCCGGGGCTGGGCTTGGGCCGGGTGTGCTGACTGCGAGTGTCTGGGCCAGTTCTGACTATTAACAATCATTATGGTTTCGATCAAGATCATTTTCGCTTGAAGCTGACCGACCCTGGCTTGTAGGGGAGCGCCCCGCAGACTGGGCTTAGCGCCCGCCGCCTGCCTCCGCCTCGGAGCCCCCGGTGCAGAGGTCCGCTCCTCCGGCCCGTGCGCTCTGATCTCCGACCCACCCTGGACACGAAGCTGCAGCGGGCGATCTCAGCGACCCCTCCGCCCCACGCACGGATCGTCTCTTTTGTCATCAAGTAAGATGCTCCTTGCCGAGGCAACTACCTAACCTTCGATGGGAGACGAAACGTGACGGCCCTGGAGTGCGTGCGCACCGCAGCCTGCCCTGGGGCTTGGGGCGAGGGGGAGGGGAGGAAAAGGAGAGCCGCAAGAAGCGGGAACCAGGAGGCTCTCTATCCAAAACGAGGCTGTACATTCCTGAGCAGACAAGATTGGAGCCGCAGGCGTCCTAGAGCGAGGTGGGAAATCGTGGGGAAGGGTCTCCTTCAGATACCTGCCCATCATGTGCCCTCTTGCCTCTGGAGAAGGAGCCCAGAGCAGCCTTTCGGTGGAGCTGGGAGCAGATCCCTGTTTGCGGTGGGTGTGAGCCCAGATGAGTACAGACTTCCCGCACGTCCGCTGGCTTTCTCTATAGTTCCCGTGGCGTGGGAACACTGGCTAGAGGGCAGAGGGGCACCGAGCTCCGGCCCGCCCTTGGGGTCAGTGGAAGCGGGTGCCGCCTGTCCCTCTTGCCCTTAACCCACGCTGCCTGTGCTGCCTTGACCCCCTCAGCATCTGGCCTTCCAGACTCTCTCCGAGTGTCTTGTAGAAGCTCTCAGAAACCATTTCTGTCTCAAATTGCAAGTGGGACCCAGCGTGTCTCCATTTCCGACTCCTACAGCATAAAGTCAAAAAAAAGGGGAGGAGGGACTGTCCTTCTGGGGCCATTTGCTATCACCAGGGCAACAAGATAGTGTACTAGCCCTGTGTGTGCAGACTCCACAAGCCCTAAAAAATATTGGGCTCCTTGCCACAGGTGTCCTAAGGGAAACACAGGATTTGACACGGTGGCACTCCAGAAACCTCTTTTGACAAGGGGTCCTTTCCCCAAAGATTTCCTTGTCCTGGGAAACTCTCGGCACAAACAGTCCAGTCCTCTCACTGACCCAGCTCCCACCCCCACTCACTCCCTGCTCCTGGCCTTAAAACTCAGACACTGGACCCTGACAGGCGCCCCTCCAAGCTCCCACACAGCCCCTGGAGACCATTCACTCGCACTGCTTCTCAGAGGATAGCCAGTCCTCTCTGAGAGTCTGTGAATACATGTCTCCGCCTCTGCACCCATGCTAATGGGAAAAGCTCTTTACAGAAGAATGCCAGCCCCTAAATGTAGCCAGAATGGGAGATTTAGCATGCTCTCATCTTGCAGCCCTCTGGAAATAGGTCCGACCAAGTGATTAATGCACCCAGAGGTGGCAATGTGGAGAACTGGTTAGCCACACAGTGCTAACTGGTGAAGGAAAACATTTCTCATTTTCAGTGGCTTCCAGTACCTTCCCGTGACCCAGTATGTAACGGGATCCAGTGTGTAACAGGATCAAGTATGTGAATGTGTAACAAGAGTCATGCACACGGGGCCGACCTGACCGCGTGGGAAGGGCACTCCAGCACGCCACCGCGCCGATGCTGTGCTTGGCTGGAAGCGCTGGCCTTGAACCAGTCAAGCCAGCAGCCTGCTCTTGCAGTTGACAGTTGAGGGGATAGGGAAGGTGAATGACACCAGGCAGAAGCAGTCCCCAGAGTGGCCATTCTGTAGTCAACTGGCCTGGTCTCCTCGAAAAGATCAATGTCAGAAAAAGGGTGAGAATAGTTCTGGTACAGAAACAGCTGACACAATGCAACAAGCATTCATAACAAAGCATGGAGCCTGATAGCTCCTGGTCACCGACCATCACGAAAAACAATTTGGAGGACGTTTCAATGTGATGGAGGATCGAGTGATATTACAGAATTATTGTCAGTGTTATTAGGTGTGATAATAGCACAATGCTTCTCTAGGAGAATAGCCTTATTTTTAGGATTTTCCTGCTGAACTATTAAAGGGTGAAATGTGTTAATGTTTGAAATGTGTTCTTAAATTATTTTGCAAAAACAATGTATATACACATAAAGCTGATATGGCAAAATGTTAGCAATCTAGGTGGTGGATATGGGGAGGGAGCTGTACAGTGTATTCTTTTTCTTTATATGTTTAAACATTTTTTATTATAAAAGTTGGAGAAAACTAAAATGTCATGTACTAAATACCTTAAATATTTCTCCACCTCTGAACTCAGGCTATTAAATCAAAGCTAGGTTTATGGGAATAAAATAAAAAGATAGTATGATGTATATCTGCATACTTTTGAAAGCCACAGGGTCCCAAACTTGAATGTCATTTGAACAAATATGTTATATATTTATTTGTAATTTTAAAACAGGAAATACATGCACTTTCCCAACACTAGCGCCTATAGCTTGGCAACAGCTGCAGAGTGATTGAAGGACATCCAGTTGTAAGACTGACCACCAGGGAGCTTTCGGGCAGACTCTCCGCCTTGCAGAAGTGGACTGCAGGAGCTGAGCAGCCAGGGAGGCAGCCCCGTCCACCCATCAGTGCAGCCACCTCCCCTCCTCCTTCCCAGCCTCTGCCACTAGATCCCAGGGTACTCTTCACAGTCCCTAGGTCAGAGTTAATCTGCACTGTGTCTATTCTTCGCTCTGTTTTAACTCTGACCTTGATAAAGGTGCATGTTGTCTTTTATGATTTTCAGAGGCTACTCTTCAAGCGTGCACTCAGGACAGTGTGGTGTGAATTCACAAGGCTGTGGAGGGAGCTCTGGGTAGGGGCGGGGTACCTGGAAGAAAGGAGCCCCGGACAATGTTGGGACCCAGGCGTGGTTCTCTGACAGGTCACCACGAGTGAAATCGTTTGCGCGGTGCTGGAGAGGAATGACTTTGACACTGGTCTGGATATGGACTTGCAAAGGAACCTGGCCTTGTGTACACTAACCCTCTCCGGCCTGGAGGAAGCCCGTGCCTCCACCGGCGCTCTCACAGTAAGTGTTCCTTCTTTCACAGACACCCACCAGAGCTGAGCCTCACGACTCTGACTGTGACTTCCACGGCTACTGCGTCACCTGCCCGTCTTTATGCCTCCTGCACCCCTTTCTCCACTCTTAACGTCAGCCAGAAACCGGCAGGGACCCCCAGAACTGTTTTATTTACCTTTCATAGTTTGTAAAGATGTTTGTAACATTTAGACACCTAACCGGTATGTGTGTTCATGTACATGTGTAACTATGTGTGTGCATATGTGTGTGTATGTGTAAAAGTGTATACATATGTGCATGTGTGTATGTGCATATGTATGCATATAAGTGCATATACACGTGTGTGTGCAAATGTGTGCTTATGGGTATGTGTGTGGGTATTTTGGGTGTTTGGGTGTGTGTGTGCACGCTGCACAGAGACTGTACTTTTGTGAGGGAGGTGTTGTGTCCAACCCTTCATGGAACATGAGCACCTGGACCCTGGTTCTTGAACTGGCCCTCCTGAAATCGGTCAGGGTTGGGGCTGAAGGGGAGAGGTGCTCGGGATGGAGTTACTCACCAGTGGCCAGTGAGTTCCTCAATGAAGCCTACATAATGAAACCTCAGAATCTCCTCAACAGCAGGGTTTGGGGAGATTCCAGGTTGGCGAACCCGTCTGTGTGCTAGAAGGTGGCACACCCAGAGAGGGCGTGGGGACTTCCGCCCCTCCTCCCCATACCTTGCCCTACGCATATCTTCCGCTTGACTGTTCCCGAGTTGTATCCTTTATAATAAACCAGAAACATAAGTCAAGTGTTTCCCTGGGTTCTGTGAGTTGTTCTAGCACATGACCGAGCCTGAGGAGGGTGTAGGAACCTCCAGGTTTGTAGTTGGCCAGGCAGAAGGTCCAGTGGGGGCAGACAGGGAAGTGTGAACTCAGCCTGGGGAGGTCCAGGGGACGAGTGTGGGCTTGTGGGCTCGTGGGCGTGCACACTTGTGTGTTTTCTGTAGAAACCTGCCTACTCTGACGGCAAGAGGAGAAAGAATGGACTGGAACCCTTGATTCTCTCCATTCTTTTGATGGAGTAGAGTGGTCTGAGGGCTTATGGTGATGCCTGCATCCGAGTCCCACCAACTGGCTAGCTCAGCCTCCAGCAGCTCTGATGCTTTGAGCTGAGTGCAGAAATGTGCCTGCCTTGCTGGCTGCCACGCCTGGGAACCGGTGGGCTGGGCTTGCTGGAGCAGTTCTCCCGATTCCAGGAGACACTCGTACACACTGTCTGCGCTGTAACTCAACACAAACGCTTGGTGTGTTTATGTGGTCATGCACA